GGATATTTTTGTATACGGTGGTGGGTATACCCGGTATCTTTCCCTGTAGACTGAGTGCGGAGGAAGGAGAGCCTGATTCGTGGAAGGAGGAGAGAGGAACTAAAGAGAATGAGTGACGAAAAGAAGGAGAAAAAAAAGATGATCTTAGGAGAATTCCTAAGTAGGAAGGGGTGGGCTGATATGATAAGAAGAGAGGAAGCCAAGAAACAAGCCAAGGAACGGGAGGAGAGAGAGCAACGTGATGCCGAGAGGAAGGAGAAGGAAATTAGGGAGAAGGAGAGACAGAGGGAGGCGGAGAGAACCAAGAGAGAGGAACAAGAGAGGAGAAAGCGACAGGAACGAGAGCGGAAGGAGAGGGAAAGAAAAGAGAAAGAGGAGAGAGAGGAGCAGAAGAAGACGGAAGCGGAGAGGAAAAGCGAGAGGGAGAAAAAAGAGAGGAAAGAGAGGGAGGAGAGAGATCGGCGAGAGACAGAGCGAAGAGAGAAAGAAAGGAGAGAGCGAGAGGAGCGGGAACGCCAGGACAGAATGCTACTGGAGAAAAGGCAGCGAGAAAGAACTGAAGCAGAGCGAAGGAGACTGGAGGAGAGGGACCGCATTGACCGGGAGCGCGCAGGATACCCAATCTGGGAGTTAAGCCGCAAGATGCGAGATGCGAGGGACCAGTTGCGCCACGAGGAGTCCATCCTCCGCCTGGGACGAGAGGACCAAGCCAAAAAGAATGCCGCTCGCATAGCTATCCCGGGGGCGTCATACAACCCCCCGAGAAAACCAGAATCCTGCTGGAGCTGTGGCCGAGAGGGCCACAAGTACTCGGACTGTCCGAGGCGCCGAGGGGACCGCAAGTTTTGTTACAGCTGCGGTAACCAGGGTGTTACCCTCGCTGAGTGTCCGAAATGTCAAGGGAAATGGGAGCGCCATGAAAGACCCGAACGAAAGCCCCGTTAAATACTGCCGGTGCCTCGACCACATGTACGGAGTAAATAACTATCTTATTTTTATGTGAAACTACCCCGAACCTCGCTTTTGCCGCTAGTGCCGTAGTCATCGCCTTTTGGGAACAGATGACCAGAATTAATAAAGAATAAATAAAGTTCCAAGAACATACTCAGAAAGAGAGTAAGTTATTAGACACCCTTTCNATCTCGCATTTTGCGGCTTAATTCCCAGATGGAGTATCCTACGCGCTCCCGGTCAATGCGGTCCCTCTCCTCCAGTCTCCTTCGCTCTGCCTCAGTTCTTTCTCGCTGCCTTTTCTCCAGTAGCATTCTGTCCTGGCGTTCCCGCTCTTCTCGCTCCCTCCTTTCTTTCTCTCTTCGCTCTGCCTCTCGCCGATCTCTCTCCTCCCTCTCTTTCCTCTCTTTTTTCTCCCTCTCGCTTTTCCTCTCAGCCTCCGTCTTCTTCTGCTCCTCTCTCTCCTCTTTCTCTTTTCTTTCCCTCTCCTTCCGCTCTCGTTCCTGTCGCTTTCTCCTCTCTTGTTCCTCTCTTTCCGTTCTCTCCGCCTCCCTCTGTCTCTCCTTCTCCCTAATTTCCTTCTCCTTCCTCTCGGCATCACGTTGCTCTCTCTCCTCCCGCTCCTGGGCTTGTTTCTTGGCTTCCTCTTTTCTTATCATATCAGTCCACTCCTTCCTTCTTAGGAATTCTCCTAGACTCATCTTTTTTTCTTCCTTCTTTCCGTCACTCATTCTCTTTAGTTCCTCTCTCCTCCTTCCACGAATCAGGCTCTCCTTTCTCCGCACTCAGTCTACCGGGAAAGATACCGGGTATACCCATCACCGTACACAAAAATATCCAAAGCATGCAATCAAACAAACAAAAAGACTCAAAAAGGAAACGGCAACTATCCATTATCGAGATTCTCTCGTAATGGTTCGCAATAAGGCTTAAGGTCNTTCACGTGTATTCGACCCAACGGCACGTTATCTAAACTGACCAGTTCATAAACTACTGAAGTAGTTAAGATATAGGGGTTTTGCTCCATGGTGCTCCGAGGGGGGGTGAGGGGGGCGGGGGAACCGCGGAGAGGGGAGGGGATAACCGCGGGAGAGGAGGGAGGGGTAACCGCGCGAGGGAGGTGGAGGGGGAAGGAGGACTCACTGTAAGCCTTTCTGTGAAAAACCGCAAGAGGAGGGGGAAGGAGGAGTCAATGGAAACATAATCGTAATAATAATGAGAGCAGGACTTGGGTGTTGCGGATGAGAAACGTAGGAATGTGGGTGGTGTCGGCGGAGCGTTCTTATCAGCTCCACCGGAAGTAGCCAATTAACGGCGAGCCGTAAAAATGGAGCATGCAATATTCGAGCGAGTTGTATTTATTTAAGATAGTGGTTACGCCATTGGTTTTAACATGTTCGAACGTGTTCAAGGTCGATCGGTTGATGACGTCATTGTTAAATAACAGCACCTCTCAATTATAGTTTTAAATTGCGCAGTAAAATAAAGAAATTCTGAGAAAAACCGCAAGAATGTTGATGACGTCATCGCTAAAAATAGAACTTGAACAGGTTCAAACGTGTTCAAGGTCGTTCGGAACGATGACGTCATCGTTAAAATTGCAATTGCGCAGTAAAACACAATTATTCCGAGAAAAACCGCAAAAGTTCCCGGAAGCGGTTCGCGTAAAAAAATAAATTGCGCGCAGTTAGCAATTGCGCAGCAAATAAATAAGAAATTCCGAGAAATACCGCAATTTCCCGGAAAACAAAGAATTCCGAGAAAAACCGCAATTTCCCGGAAATAAATAATTCCGAGAAAAACCGCAATTTCCCGGAAGTGAGCCTGTTCTTATCGCTCTAAGCGACCAGCCGCTTCCGGTTTGATGACGCACTTCCCATGATAACGCAAAACCGTTGCGTACCGGATGTGGTGTTTTTGAAACGCAATGTCAAAGATTTCGAGGAAAGATAAGGAGTGAAATAAAAAGACGCCTCGAGGTCGGGAGCGACTCACAAATCATTTTGATCGCAAGTTGTATAGATAACAAGTCGCCGCTGTTGTTGTTGAATATGTTTAACAGATTGAACACAACNAGCATATTAAAACTATCGGTCGAAGAGTTGAAAAACATTCCAAAGAGAATTCTTTTAGAAGTGTTCAGTAATCACGTGGAGTTTTTGTGGGATCGACTGCCTGAGCATTTGAAGAAAGATCCTGAGGTGCAGCTGTATCGTAGATGTCTCGAACATTACAATCAAACAGGAGATTACGATCACATTGACGGACCTGCTCCGCTGAAAAAAGATTGTCACGCTTGTATTGCGAAAGCCAAGATGGAAAATCAGCAATGAATCGGATCAGACAACCGAAAGCGCTTCAGTTCCTAGCTGCGAAAACTGTAGCAAAACATGTAGACGAGTACATTAAAATACACAATCTTGAAATTCNTAAAGTGTGCAAGGACGCAATACGAGAGATCTGGTTCGATGTACGGCTCTATCGCTACGATTGTGATATACATTGGCCTTGGTTAACGGTGCACGATCTACC